TAGTGAATCCTGGTATACTAAATTCCCCGCTACTAGAAACTCACCCCGTACAGAAGCGCGCTATCACCTGCGTTATACTGAATTTTGAACCAGCGCGATCCAGTGTGATGGGTTACGTTTTCGAAAGGTACCTGGACATTTGGAATGGCTGGATAGGGTTAGGGAAAATGCACTCCCACAACCTCCCTTGGTAACATCTGCCTACAAGGGACGGTTGGCTGGTTTCGGTAGTGGAAAAATCCCGAATACTGCCAAGAAACAGTAGCATTCCTACGCGGTTCAGTGTAGCAAAAAACAGGGTGTATATCTCAACGGAAAGGAGAGCGTGCGGGAGACGTACGATTGTGCTGTGAATGCGATGCTGCTCGTGCTGCTGCTGATCCGTCGTGGTGGTTTTTTTCCGAAGTGAACAGTGAAACAAAACAGAGGATGCTGTTGCTGCTTCTGCTGCCATGAGAAAACTCCCGCTTGTCGCGAAGCCCACAAAGAAAACTTCCAGCCACTAGAGGCGTATGGATTACGTGGGAGATTCGATCTGAAGTGGAGATTTTCCTTCCACCCAAAACATTTTCATTGTCTTCCCCTACGTATTTTCATTACAGTAGCTTCCGTTTCCATTATCCCCTTCTAGCCAGAAACCCAAAAAAGGGTATTTATCCGCTCTCGTCGGGCTGGTTTTCTTCAAGGAGTGTTCAAATTGTATTTTTATAACCCCCGACGTCGGAGGCTCGACGCCGACCGACATCGAGCTCGACGTCGATTGACGTCGAATCCGGCACTTTGAACACATTGCCGGCGACGAAGTGTCACTCAGGACAAATGCCGGCCTTACCAGTCAAACAATTGAATTGAGACCAAAGAACAATTGAATTGTGAGCAGTGAACAATTGAATTGGGACCAAAACTAAAGTCGCGAAATTTTTGCATGCGTGTCGTTTGTGCGTTTATTGGCCGCGAAATTTTTGCATGCGTGACATTTTTCGCACTGCTCGAAAGTACCCGTCATGCCAATCTTCATTTTGTCTGAAGTTGTCTTTTTATCCAGTGTGTAGATGCGCTCAATCTTTTTTATTGACCGCTTCTGATCACGAATTATTGCACAATTCCGTACAAGTAGCGATGCTGGCGTCAGCAGTTTTTGAAGCGTACTTTGAACACGGAAACGGCACCCCTCATCTCACTACCTCGCCCAACAACCTCGACGAAAATCGACGTCGGCGCAAATGCAGCACTTTGAACACCCCTTTACCCCGAAGAGCGCATTATGGCATTTGTTCCGTTCTGACCGAGATGCGCACAGACCGTTGGCTTGCCTGATCGGTCGGCCACAAGCCCCTAGACCAGACCACTGTTCTGCTCTGGTGGGCTCTGCGACCGCCTTGGCTCGCCTCGCCTGCCATGCTTCCTGACGCAACACACCACTGGCTTCCGCGGTTGAAGCCCTCATTGCCACGACAGCAGCACATTCAATTACCCATTAAAGAGTCACCTTGTAAATGATATAGAAATTAATGTGCATAGCTATTTCTGCTCTCTCGTGTCTAGTGCATTATCTTATCTTTCGCAAACATCTTGCTCTATTCTTGTAAGCATCATATCAGTCCTTCGTAGATCCTTCTGAATCGCCACCAACCACATCGCACCTTTCTCCTCCATGCTTTCATTAGCCACACCATCCTGATCACCACCATCACTTGGACACCTTCCGGGGAAGAACCTTCTTCACCGGCTGCTTTACTGTGCGCATGGCATCATGCCTTTGTTTCAGAAACTTCGCTCGTGCCTCCTCTCTTGCTCGTCCCTCTTTCTTTGCACGCTCCTCTCCCTCATCGTCATCGCTCAGTGATCTCTGCAATTTGCTCTTGGGCTTGCTCTTGGCAATCTCCTTACTTTCACAGCTCTTCACTCCCACACCAGCAGCATCTCCACGTGGTGTATGGCAGTCATTTCTTCCTGCTGGCCTAAACTGTTGCTTGCTGTCCCCTGACAAATCAGCAAGCGCTTCTCGAGGTTGGTACCTGTCCAGTCCACATTGCGCTTTGTTCGGTGTTGGGACATGTCTCTCAACCCCTCGACACTCCAAACCAGCCTCCTGTGCATCCCTCTGCCTCTCTCTCATTGCCTCTACGCCCTCGTCTCCACCCTGCACGAAGTCTCCCCCCATCCACTGCACATTCTCTCCCGCCCCAGTCGCCTCCACTCCCCTCCGCACGTCTACACCAGCATCACCATGTGAATCCCCACGTGCATGTCGCATGCTGCGCTCGTCGTATGAGCGCCGGGGGCGGCGGCAGTCAGCGAGCGACGCGGGCGGCGCAGGGCGGCGGTCGAGAGTGTGCGCGCGGCGAGCAGTTGTATCCTCCTCAATGGGATATTCCGCGAGAGAGTGAGAGCGCCATTGAGACAGGGAGCGGCGAGTCCCGCCGCCGTCAGCGCCACGGCAGACCTCTTCCTTCTCCGAGTCTGACTGTATCTCTGCATGCTGGCAGCTGGAGAAACCTCTTGGTGACCGAGTTGGAGGTGATATTTGCAGCATCAGGTCACGGTGGTCGTAGAGTAGCTCGCTGTCGTCCCATGAGCCGCAGGAGCTGTGCTGCTGGCTGCTCCTGCGTCGGCCGTCGCCGCCCCTCCTCTCCCCCTGGCAGGCGCATGCGAATCGCTGCCCACAGAGGCTGACGCCAGTAGCTGACGTGGCGATTGCTGATAGGCTGCAGGCGGTGTCAGGGGGGTGTGTCGAGGCGAGGGGATGGAGCAGGGGAAGCGGGGGGAGGCGGCGGAAGGGGATGTTAGGGACGAGGAGGCGTCGAATGGGGAGCAGGCTTGCGCTGCAGCGCCCCGTCGTCCCCTTTCCGCCCTTCCAACGGTCGAGCACGTGGGGAAATCATCATAGCTGCCGCCCGACCCAGCGGCGCCGCGCCCGTCGCAACGCTGACGACTGCGATGAACGGGCGACGCGTGGTGGTCCCTCGTCACGAACGGCTCGCCCAGGTCATCATCACCTGGCGCGCGCCGGATCTGACGGCTCAGCGTCCTCGTCGGCCCTCTCGTCGCCAGGTCGCTTGAAGGCTGCCGCTGCGGCGCGTGGAGTACGGGGCGCGCGTCGACGGCGGCGAAGTGAGGGTCTGACCGACTCTTCGGTGCGCCATGAACCGCGGTGGTTCCGCCGGACGAGCGCGGCGAGAGGTGATGACTGTAAGGCTCGGCGCGCCGTCGGCCAGGGCCTTCCGCTGCGCGGTGAAGCTGCAGTCGCGGCGATTCTCGCGGCGAAAAATGATGCGATCCGCGAGATGCGACCGGAGATTCGACGGTCTGCACCATCCGAGTCGGAATCGGGACGCGATCGAGCGAGTCGCCGTGCCACGTGTCGTAATGCTGCGGTCGGCGGGATCGAGGGACATCCGACGCGGCCGCACTGCCCAACGAGCTGGATTTTAGGCCGGGCCGCGAGCGCGGCGTTGCTCGTGCGGAGGCGGACGGAGAAGTAGCACCAGCCGCGATGTGCGCTGAATCGGCTCGGTGATGGCAGTTCTCGACTTGCCAAATAACTTTTGTTGAATTGTCCCTCACGCCGCCGCCGCCGCCGCCGCTGCTGCTGCTGCTGCTACGGCGGACACTCGACGGCGTCGATCCGAGCGCCGCCGAGGCGCTCGCCGAATGAGGGACCGGCGTGCTGACGTGTCGCCAATGATTGGGGCCCAATGTGTCGACGCGACTCGCATGACCGCACGACTGGAAGCCACTCGGAGACCCCGTCGAAGCGCTACCGCAGGACCGGGAAGCCGGGAAACGCGGCGAGTCCGAGGAGGACGTACTATTGATAGTATCGAAAGATGAGCTGGAAGTACGCAGCACATGATTCGGCGTCGGTACGTCGCCGCATTCGTACCCCTCGGACAGTTGCAATGACAGTCGTGGTGGCACTCGCCGGTGGCTCGGCATTTGCTGACGTGGCGACGCTGCGGCTACCGCGGCTCGTCTAGGCGGCCCCGGTCCGCCGTTAATGACCTGAAGATTGATATCTGATTCGACCACGTCGTTATCTAGCAGCCGCATCACTCGCTCGGCTTGCTCCGCGAGTCGCTTTCTCGCGCCGTGGTCGCTAAACACCAAGGTCGGAGCCATGGCAACAGGCACTTTCGTGCACCAAATACTGGAAGGTTCAAGATGCTGCTGTCAGCGAAGCGAGTGAACGTGCTGCAAATGAGGGTTTGCCGTAGCGTGTACAGCCTTCTGTACAACATACTTCTTGGTTTGGCCCTGCTGTGATCTCCCGCCCCTATCAACGTCCTGTGGCTTGAGAGCGGTGGTGATGGTTCTGGTCTGGTACGGGATATTACGGCGGTGGACGGCATTGGTGCGGGGCGACGGGCCGCGATGAGCAGACTTTAATTTCCACTGAGAAACTGGTGCCACAGTTCCTAGTTTCAGGCAGATGGTCCCACGTGCTTTAGAGGCTGCGGTGGAGACGGGAGTGGAGGATGCAAGGGATGCGTAGCACTTGCACGACACGAGGCCGTGAAAAAGACAAGCTATGCCATGGAATCAGGGCAGCAATTGTCTCGTCGTTAGCACGCTCGCGAAAATGCTGGTAACGAATTTTGTCGTTCTGTCTGACTTGGCAGCAGCATCGCACCTTGCCTTTCACCGAGCATTACATCTCATAAATCGGGTTCCCGCGAGGAAGCGTACATACTCGGCAAACTCTTGATAGAGTATACAGCGGTTTTTGCCTATATCGGATTGTCACCACCTGGAAAAGGTTTCACTTATATTCATTTCCGCTTTCATTCTGCCCACGGGCTAGCAGGAAAGAGGCAATCTCAACAACGAATATCCTCGCCAACAACTTCTTTGACATAATACAGTACAGCAACACGAAGCGGGATTTGTGTGCAAGTAGCCCTTTCATGCGAGGTGGAACTGGGCTCGGTCAATTGTGAACAGAGATTTGCTGCCACAACGTAGTGTATGAATCCTCCTTCCATCAACTGAACCATCCTCTACGCTTTTCGTAAAGCACCCTTCTTCCTCTGCTGCTTTGGCCTGCCACTGTCACCACGGCTCGGTCTCACAACCGCCTTTGCCTGTTCCTCCTCCTCGTCATCGTCACTCAGCGATCTCTGCAGCTTGCTCTTGGGCTTCTCCTTGCTCTTGGAACTCCCCTTGCTCTCACTCCCCCTCACCTCCCCTGCGCCAGCATTTTCACTGGATTTTTGCCCATCAGGTCTGCCCCGTGGCCTGATCTGCTGCTTGCTGCCCTCCAAAGATTCAACAGCAGGAGCGCTTTGCTGGTACCCAGTGGGCCCATCTCGAAGGTCTGGGACCAAGGCAGCATGCTGCGCGTGCGACAGCATGGAACCATGCCTCTCAACCCCTCCACGCTCCAAACCAGCCCCCTCCGCATCCCATTCCCACCGTCTCATTGCCTCCACGTCCTCCCCTTCATCCTCCACTTTCCATGGCGTCTCCTGCACTATGCCCCAATCCTCATCCTCCTTCCCCACCCACTGTGCATTCACTCCCGCCCCGTCAATCCCGTCCGCTCTCTGCACGTGCACACCCGCACCACCATGCGAGCCCCCACGTGCGTGCCGCGCGGCCCGCTTGTCACATGCTGGCCGCCGGAGGAGGCGGCAGTCAGGGAGTGATGCGGAGGGCGCGGGGCGGCGGTCGAGAGTGCAGGAGCAACGGTGACGCGCAGTGCGGTCCTCCTTAATGGCATGCTCCGGTATAGGATGTTGCGCTATTGGATCTTGAAACGCAACGAGATGCTCTGCAATGCCATGCTCCGCCATGGGATGCTCCGCTACAGGAGGCTGCACGTCCTGGAGCGAGTGCGAGCGCCACCGAGTCACGGGGCCAGTGTGGGGCGCTGCAGCGTGCGCAGTCGCAGCTACTGCATGTGCACCTCCGCCATCCGCGCCGCGCCAGTCCCCCTCCTCCCAGTCCGCACCTTCAGCCCACAGCTGCTCCGATGGGACCTCGGCGTTCTGGCGGCCTGAGAATTTCCTCCGGGGACGGTGCTCACGGCAGGAGGGGGGAACTGGGGGAGGTGTTATCTGCGGAGAGGGCTCCCCATCGAGCAGCGCGTTGTCCCACGTGTGGAAGCGACTCAGCTGGCGGCTACTGCTGCTGCTGCTGCCTTGGCTGTCGCCGCCCTTCCTCTGCCCCCTCGTAGCAGCAGGCTGCGACGACGGACTGCCTGTGGCGATGGTTGATTGCCGGTGGATTGCAGGAGAGCTGCCGCCCAGAGAGGTTGACGGTTGCAGCTGCTGACGTGGCGATTGCTGATAGGCTGTGGGAGTTGCCAGGGGGAGGAGACGAGGCGAGGGGATGCCGCAGGGGAATCGGGGGGATGTGGGGGAAGGGGATGTGGAGTCCAGGGGCGAGGCGGAGGAGGGGGAAGAGGCTTGCGCCACGGCGGAGCGTCTTCCGCGTTGCGCCCTTCCCACGGTTGTAACGCCAGCGGGGAGCTGATCATGGTGGTTGGCGCCAGGTCCAGCGGAGCTGCGCCTCTCGCGACGATGGCGGCTGTGGCTAGCAGGCGACGCGTGGTGGTTTCTTGCTGATAAGGTCGGCTCGGCCACGTCATCATCATCGCCTGCATCGCAATCGATCACCAGGGCTGCTGGCCGCCGGATCTGACGGCTCTGCGTCGTCGTCGGCCCTCTCGCCCTGTCATTAGGGGGCTGCGGCTGCGCCTTGAGGACGTACCGCGTGTCGACAGCAGCGGCGATTGTGGAGGGCATGACACGTGTCAGCGTCGTCGATTTTGCATAATTGGACTCTCTAGCCGCCAGATCTGTGTCCGAACCGCTCTTCAGTATGCCGCGAGTCACGGCGCTTCCGCCGGACGAGCGCGGCGAGGGGTGATGGGGAGCGCAAGAGGCGGGCTCGGCGCTCTGGCCGCCAGGGCTTGTCGCTGCGTGGTGAAGCTGCAGTCGCGGCGCTTCTCGCAGCGACAGATGATGCGACGAGCGAACGACGTCGGTCCGTGCCCTCGGGATCGCCACGCGATCGAGCGACTCGCCATGCCACGTGTCATTGTGCCGCAGTCGACGGGATTGAGGGACAGTGAGTCTCGTCGCCGCGCCGCCGCCCGTCTCGGAGCTCATTCTCAGCCCGGGTTGCGCGCGCGCCGCTGCTCGCGTGTCGGCGGATGAAGAAATATCCGTTGCCCGAGCACGAGCCGCGCCGAGTTGATCCGGTCCTTCAGGGTAATTCTCACGGCTTGTCTTGGTCTTGCGTCTCGCCGCAGTGCCGCTGCTGCTCCGGCGGACACTCGACGGCGGTTCGAGCGCCGAGGTACTTGCCGAATGACGAATCGCGCCGACGTGGCCATTGGCGGCGACAATATCGTGGCGGATCTGGGTTGGACGGCGCGAATAGGACGGCGAGTCCAGGGGTCGATTGTAGGGCGACTCGGCGGAGGAGTTATTAGGGGAACCAGTCGAAACGCTACTGCTTGACAGGGAAGCCGCCAAACGCGGCGAGGCCGAGGATGACTTCGAGCCGCTACTGAACGACCAGGAGGATGGGGTTCGAGAAGCGCGCGAATTAGGCGTCGTTACGTCGTATTCGTACCCCTCGGAGAGTTGCAAGGACAGTCGCGGCGGCCCTCGCCGGTGGCTCGGGATCCCGAGTTGCTGACGTGGCGATGGCTGCGCGCCTACCGGGATCCATCTGGTCGGGCCCGTGGTAATTCGAGCACTAGGATCTGATTCAACCGCATTACACGGCTTGTCGTTGTCGAGCAGCTGCATCACTCGCATCGCCTTCTCTGCGAACCGTTTTTTCGGTCCGTCGTGATCGCTAAGCATGACCAATGGCGCAGCCATGGCGATAGGCAGGTTCTTGAAACCAACCGAAAAAATACGAGCTTAGATTAGCAACTGAGGAAGATAATCGTGAATCGCGAAAGCTAAAAAGGGAAGCACCAGCCGCACAAGAAACGTCAGCTGCTGGGATAGAAAGGAACAACGGAGGCAGCCATGGCAGCCATGGCAGCGTGTGTAACAAACATGCTGCTTGGCATGGCATTGTTGTAAAGCTTCACTGCCCGTCAAATATATGGGGGGTTGAGAATGGCGGTGATGGGTCTGACGGGAAAATACGGCAGAGGTGCAAGTGGCGGCATGTGAGGTGAGCGAGTGACTGAGGTGAGGAGGAGACAAACGAATCTTCTTTGTTCAGATTCATGGGGGATCGCGATTCCTGGGGAGGATGTGGGGTGGTGGAAGCGAAACGAAGGCGAATTGAACGACGAGTTACAGCGGTTGAGGTAACGGTGCGATGAAACCTGGGGTAGCAAACCCGTCGTCACTAATACACGCGAACCCGTTTGCGACAAATCCAGTCAATTTGACTATGCTGACGACAAAAAGATACTTGAAAGGCGACGAACTTCCCCATGGTCAACAATCTCGAGCAGTTGCATTCGAGATGTTTGGTTCGGTTGGCTCCCGTTACCCTCCATCCCCAAATTGGCCAATAATGACGACATAAGCCGAGGAAACCTATTGTACACGCATAATAAAATGGTAACGACGTAGTATGTTGATGCCAGAATGAGCTGCGCCATATACAGCCATATGTATTGTCACTCATTTGTCACTGCACAGTACATTACACTAGCAGCAACCATACATTTATTATTTACTTCAAGGTTTTCTCCACATCAATGACAAAACGATACTTCACATCACCCTGCAAGAACACAGCCATCCCGTCAGGACAGTGTTGCGAACAAACAGATAACATGCTGCCCAGTCAAGTGTTAACTCAGTTTACCTTGAGTAAACGGTCATATGCCCGGTTGATATCTCCGATAGCAATTTTCTCAACCTGGGGAGCCACACCATTCTTTGCACAAAACTCCAGCATTTCTTGAGTCTCCTTGATTCCTCCTATCAAACTTCCTGCTACCATCTTACGCCCTGTGATACAGTGCCAGATGTGAAAACAGGCAAATATGAATAAATAAATATGCTCAGCACAAAAGCGAGCGCCATCATCCAGAAGGCACGGAACATGTTGCTGGTCTAAAGAGCACAAAAGAAAGACATATATGGCGTTTTCTCTCCAGTATCAGTGCACTCACCGAACACAAGCTGACTGGCATGGAGAGTGAAGGGAGCTGGGGGGATGCCGAGGAGAAGCAGCTTCCCGTTGAATGTGAGGAGGTCGAGGTAGGGCCCCAGCTCATGCTGCGCTGAGACCGTGTCAATGATTACATCCAACGACCCTGCTGCTGCCTGCTCGACCCAACAGCAAAAATAGAAGAGTCAACGGGTTGATAAATAGAAAATAAGAACACAAAATACTGCGGTTCGGCTTCTAGAGGGGTACCAACACAAGAGGATCGCAGGTGATAAGCCAGCTTACCTTCATGGCGTCCGCGTCTTTGGTGACAATGAACCTGTGCGCTCCCATCACCTCCCTCGCCTCCCTCTCCTTGCCCTGCGACGTGCTCAGCACGGTGACATGCATGCCAAACGCGCGCCCCATCTGCACTGCCACGTGGCCCAGCCCGCCCAGCCCTGCCACCCCCAGGCGCATGCCCGGCTTGTTGGCGCCGTAATGCATCATGGGGGAGTAGACTGTGATGCCCGCGCATAACAGAGGAGCTGCCACGTCAGATGCCAGCTCGGAAGGGATGGAAAGGACACAGCTGTGCGGGCAGGGCGCAGAATTTGGGGGCATAGACAAGAGCAAGACGAGGGGTTGTGCAAGAGCGACGACCAAGGAAGAAATCAAAGTTGACAGCGCTTTCACGGCGAAGTGTAACAAAAGGCTCAGGTTTAGGCGCAATACATACTGTTCATCGCAAACGATGAAAGAGGAGTAGCCTCCGTAAGTGGCCTGGCCGGACGGCGAGAGCGGGTCAACGGAGTTGTAGGTGAAGACACACTTGGGGCACGACTGCTCCTCGTGCTGCCTGCACGCCCCGCACTCACCGCACGACCCCACCATGCACCCCACGCCCACTCGCTGCCCCGCTGCCACCTTGCTCACGTCCGCTCCCACCTCCTCCACCACTCCTATGATTTCGTGCCTGCAGGGGAAGCAACGTAGCAAGCAAGTGGCACAGAGAGAGGAGGTGAAGGGAAACAGAGCATGAGGTGGTAAACCACCCAGGACAAGGAAAGACGAGCTAACTCAGGAAACAGGGAACATGAGGTTTTCGGAACCACAGGGTGCATGAGCTTACCCGGGAACGATGGGGTACATGAGCTTACCCGGGAACGATGGGGTACATAGAGTTACCCCACTCGTTCTTCGCGAGGTGCACGTCGCTGTGGCAGACGCCGCAGTGCGTGATGCGGATCTTCACGTCCCGCCGCCCCACCTCCCGCCGATGGAACCTCCACGGTGACAGCACCCCGCTCGCGTCGCGCGCGGCGTACCCCACGCAGTTGCCCTCGCCTTCTGCAGGAGTCATTGAAGCGCCGTCTTGGTCCCTTGACGGTTGCTGCTACTAAAGCGCTGCCGGGAGAGGAGGAATTCGAGTTACGGTGCTTGTACTAAGGACTGCGTGAGAAGACGGCGTGAATATGGTGGCGAGGTTGCAGCAGGCCATCTCATGGTGATGAAAAGGACGTAAAAAGGCGGCGAAATTCACGCAGCTGCTTAATTTCGCCACTTGTCGAAGCGAAAATGGATGAGGATTCTCTCGCGCAAACAGTCTGGCTTCGAGGATAGCTAGCCTCGTCAACGAGGTATGATCGCGATTTCGTTGGGTCAAACATTCTGACTGGATATTACGCAGCGCCATCGTCATGGTTTGGAAAGAGCAAGGGAGCGCGCGAGATGCGCGTCGTGCGATGCTGGCACTTTCGGAAATCTTGACAAGCAAAAGAAGGAAGCTGAGTTAGCGAATCTCACTTTCCAAACCAGCATAGTGATCTCGAGGGTGATGTGCTTTGTGTGAAGTGGGGTACGGCTCGCACTTTTGTCATTTTGATTGCGGTTGGGTTAGGTTTCTTATGTTTTTGTTCTAAACAAACAGTTATTTATGAACCACTTTAACATTATAGCTTCAGCATTCCCTTGGATATGAACGAAGCAGTCCAATTGCTGGCTACCAGTAAATGAACATAGGCATGCTAAATACGATTAGAGCACAAGCAAGAATGCACTCAGTGATATTGGAACCAAACTACACCAGTCTAGTTCGTGGCAGTCAGATCCTTGAGACTATTTTCTACATCAATCACGAAACGGTATCTCACATCACCCTGCAAAACCAATCAAGCACAGCAAACGACACTGACATCAGAAAGATAAGTGACACATACAGTATCTTGCATGTGTTAATGGACTTCTATTATTGCCAACATTACCCTCAACAAGCATTCGTGTGCCTTGTTGATGTCTCTGATATCAATCCTCTCCACCATCGGCGCCACACCCTTCTTTGCACAAAACTCCAGCATCTCTTGTGTCTCCTTGATTCCCCCTATCAACCCACCCGCAACCATCTTGCGCCCTGCCATGCCACCAGAAAGATAGGCAGCACAGAGCACCAAGATGGAGGACAGGCAAGGATGATGAGCCGACTGAATTAGTTCCATGGAAGTGTTCAACAAAACCAGCAAGAAACGGGAGCCAGGAACTTGGGACTAAACTCAGCTGAGAGCGAATGTTGCTGGCTAAAGCAGCACAACGGCACTCCGATGGATATGTTTCACAAGCAGCAGTGTGATTACCGAATACAAGCTGGCTTGCGTGGAGGGTGAAAGGGGCTACAGGAATGCCAACCAGCAGCAGCTTCCCGTTGTATGTGAGGAGGTCGAGGAAGGGCCCCAGCTCATGCTGCACTGGCACTGTGTCGATAATGACGTCCAGTGAACCCGCAGCCGCCTGCACAGACAAGCAGGAAGCAGAATGTGAGGAGGTCGAGGTGGGGCCCCCAGCTCATGCTGTTCAGGCACTGTGTGGATAATCCCGTATAATGAACCCGCTGCCGCCTGCACGGGCAACATGAAAGCATCTAAGAAGGTTGGGGTGGCTTTTTGGGGCAAGATAACTACCGTAAGACACAGTGCTGCACCGGCACCGTGTCAATGATCATGTCCAATGAGCCCGCTGCTGCCTAATCGGAGAAACAGCAAGCATCCAAAAAGTGTGAGGGTGAATTCTTGGGGGGAGAGAACAAAGATACCGGGATGGAAGCAAAACAGAAGCGAACCACCACACCCTGACAATAAGCCCACCTGCATGGCTGACGCATCAGTGGTGAGAATAAACCTCTCAGCCCCAAACAGCTCCCTGGCGTCCCTCTCTTGGTGCGGCTGTATGCTCAGCACGGTGACATGCATGCCAAACGCGCGCCCCATCTGCACTGCCACGTGGCCCAGCCCGCCCAGCCCTGCCACCCCCAGGCGCATGCCCGGCTTGTTGGCGCCGTAATGCATCATTGGGGAGTATACTGTGATGCCCGCGCACAGGAGGGGTGCTGCCACGTCAGATGCCAGCTCAGCAGGGATGGAGAGGACGAAGCTGGCAGAAGGGTTTGGGGAAAAGCGGAAAAAAGCAAACATGAGTCTGTAAGAAATTTTGACACACAGGTCTATGAGAAGGCAAACAGAATGGCAGATCGAGAAGGAGAGGAGAGGGAGGGACTGGGTCTATTCCATGAAATAGCATGACTACTGGAGATGTTTGAACAAACATCGATAAGCAACATGGCTAAGCAGCATGATTACACAAAAAAACAGAGCGACGTACTGTTCATCACAGACAATGAAGGAGGAGTAGCCACCGTAAGTGGCCTCGCCGGACGGGGAGTGAGGGTCGAGGGAGTTGGAGGTGAAGAGGCACTTGGCGCAGAACTGCTCCTCATGCTGCCTGCACGCCTCGCACTCCCCGCACGACCCCATGATTCCCATCACTCCCACCCGCTGCGCCACTGCTACCTTGCTCACGGCTGCTCCCACCTCCTCCACCACCCCCACGATCTCGTGACTGTAACGAGAGGCACCCATTGGATTGGAATGAAAAGACACGTTAGGTGAAAACTTCAAGTCTCAGGTCGGACAGAAGGCGGGATGGGAGTCATGGTGCCAGAGAGACGGAATATTTCTGAAGGAAGAGGAGAGAGCGGAATGGCGACGGGGAGTGGGACGAGGTTGGTTGGAGTAGGATGGCAGAATCTATGCAACGACTTGCAACGGAGCAGGTAGTTGAGCTTACCCAGGGACCATGGGGTACAGGGAGTAGCCCCAGTCGTTGCGGGTGAAGTGCACGTCGCTGTGGCAAACGCAACGCCGCAGTGCGTGATGCGGATCTTCACGACTCGGCGCGGAGCGGGTAGACGAGCTCACCCGGGGACCATGGGGAAGAGCAGCTTACCCGGGGACCATGGGGTAGAGGGAGTAGCCCCAGTCGTTGCGGGCGAAATGCACGTCGCTGTGGCACACGCCGCAGTGCGTGATGCGGATCTTCACGTCCCGCGGCCCCACCTCCCGCCGACGAAACCTCCACGCCGCCAGCTCCCCGCTCGCGTCGCGTGCGGCGTAGCCCACGCAGTTCCCCTCGCCGTCTACGGGAGCCATGGATTTGCAGCTTGGTAGGTTATGAGAGTGAGGGGTGCGAGAACCTAAGGCTTGGGAGGACGGCTAGGAAAGAGCGCGCCGGCATGAGAGGGGCAGTGGCCATAACGCGGCGGTATAGCGGACTTGGAGAGGACGCGCGCGGGGTGCGGTGAGCGCGAGAACGAGGCGGTGACGGTCACGCATCTGAGCGTCGGAGTGAGTACCGTCGGACTGATCGAATCTGCGACTCAGGCGAAGCGCAGGCTGGCTGAGCCAGGTCTGAGATTGCTCTGGGCCACATTACGCGGATTGGGAGGACCGAGGTAGAGCAGAGCATGACGCACATGGTGTGATGAAGCAAAAGAGATGCTTGCCTATCACACGGGGACCTCCTTATTGGGAAACTCAGGGAGAATTGGAGTTCCCGAAGGAAGAACCTCATTGAATGGGACTGCGTGGTATGGTAAAACCACGTACTATGCGAGTTATAGCAAACTCATTTTACACATGAAGCGCATGAACTTATTTCCTACCACTACTGTGCGTATCCACTACAAATCTTCACTAAGCAATAAACGCTAAAGCGAGGCTAATCATCGCTATTTGCCAAAGAGATCCAAAAATAAGATTTCTGATTGCTGCCTTGGGCTCTGCAGAGGGAGGAGGCGGAGCTGGTGGCACGCTAATGTCTCTGGGAATGGTGGCACAATCAAGGGTCGTGCTCAAGGCCGTCAGGGGGGGAGCTCCCATGTAGTCACCGGGGACAAATCTGGAGAGACAGCAGTGTGAAGAAGAGAGAGAAATTAGTGAACAAACAAATGGGTGCAATTGTGACACCAAGATAAACAAAAGGTTACTAGTAATAGGAGGTGTGTGCAGGGAAAGTGGGAGCAATGGCGGCACTCACATCAAGTGCTGCACGTCGCTGATGTTGGCGTAAGGTGTCTTCTGGCCCGTGGCCTCCTCCAGGCACACTATGCTGCGATCGTACGCCGCCACCTGGCACACATAGCCCCCGCCTGCTGCCACTGGTCGTGAGAGCACGAGCCCGCCTCTTGGGGGGGACTGGGGGGGATCAGGAGTGAAATGGGAATAGAAAATGGAAACGAAGAACGACCACAACCACTCATCAGCTACAACCACTCGTTATATTCACTATGTACTTATTTGAGTGATTGTATGCGCATATGAAGTGTAGCAACTCACGTTTTCGCCCATCTGCTGCTCGAACTGCACGAAGGACGCCATGTTGCCGGCGGAGCACCCGCTGCCGCACTGCATGAGCTGCTGCATGTCCAGCCGCCCTATCACCCCGCCCTCCGCCACGCTTATGTACACCAGGTAGTGCGGCGGCTGTGAAGGGAGGGAATGGGTGATGGAGACAGGGTGGGGAATGGGGGAATTGGGGAATGGGGGAGGGAGGAAGAGGAGGGGAGGGCAGGGAGCACTGCATGAGCTGCTGCGTGTTCAGCCAACCCCGGCCTCCGCCACGCGAGATAGTGCGGAGGAGAGAAGCGAGGATGAGCAAGGAGTGAGGGACACGGTATTGCGCACGAGGTACCAGCAGGGCGCAGGGGGGGTGGGGGGCAGGCGGAGCGACGGGGAAGGGGCAGTGGAAGGGGATGGGGAGAAAGGAAGGGGAAGAGGAAGGGGATTTGGAGGAAAAGAAAATGAGGAGCCAAAGGGCCGTGGGAAGGTGAAGGTGGGCCGAGGGACAGGTGCGAGCTCGCCACGTGGAGCGCACCTTGGGAGTGAAGACCAGCTTCAGCGGCGTGTAGTCGACGGTGAACGTCAGCGGTTGCCACGCTGTCACGTTGGGGCGCGGCCGCGGCGTGGGCTGCGGCTGCCCGTTGGGCTGCGCGGGCGGCGGCTGGACGGCACTCAGCTGCAGCAGGTGGATGGCTTTGTTTGTCGCATCCAGCACGAAGAGGAAACTCTCGTCCGGCGCCATGTACAGCTCGCCCTGCGCGCGCGGCGATGGCGAGGGACGGGGAGAGGGGGGAGAGGGGGAAGAGGGGGGAGATGGGGCAGAGGGGGGAGGAGTTGAAAGCGGTGGGATAAAGGTGGGAAGGGGTAGGAGAGGAGATATGAAGATGAGGTCGGGGGTTGGGAATCTGGGGAGAAGAGAGGATGAGAATGGAATACTCGGAGGAACCACATCCCGCGGCTTCTGCTCAGCTCCCCTGCTTCTCCGCACCACCTTCCCCTTCCCCCGCTCTCTTCACTGCAACCGCCCTCACTCGACTGAAATCGCGCGCAGTACAGCGAACCCCCTTCGACAACAAATCCCTTTACCTTCCTCTCTCCCCGATGTGCTTACAGCGAAGGGCCAGACGCCCACGATCAGGTTCGTGCGCGCGTCGATCTGCACCGTCGCCAGATTCCGCGCTTCCGCCAATCCATCTGCCGCGCTCGCCTTCCGCGCGCCCGCGCCCGCCTCGCTCACGCCGATCCCGATTCCGCCGTCAGCAGGGGAAAGGGGGGAGGCGGCGGGCGGAAGCGCACAGGAGACGAAGGCGTGGCGCAGCACGCGCGCGTACGCGCTGGAGAGCGCGCCGGGGCAGGCGCGCTGCGAGACGGCGGCGGCTTCCTGGAAGGAGAGGAAGAGCGCGGGCGCGGTAGAGGGGCGCGCGAGGTCGACTGTGTACACCCCCGATGATCCCGAGGTCGTCAGATAGCCGCGCGTGCCCAGGTCTGCACTCACGACGGGAAAGGGAAAGGGGGAACGAGAACAGGGGGGGGGGAAGGGGGTTGGGGGAAATCCCGAGGCAGAATGAGAGCGAGAGAGCACCCACGTGAACGTGAGTGAAGGTGTGCGAGGGAAGGAGCTATGGGAGAAAGATGCTGATGGCGGGAGGCGACTCACTGGGGCTCTGCAGCAGGCGCGCGCGCCCCGCGGGGAGCATGGTATTGATGCCCTGGCTGTGCACCTCCGCGTACGGCGGCTGCGCCGACAGAATGGAGAACGAGTAGCGGTCCGCCACGTCGGCCGCGTGCACCCACACCTCGTTCTGGGGAGCGGGGCGGAAGGGACGGGGAGTAAGGTGTAGGCGGGATGGATAGCCAGGGGATGGGAAGGGTTGGTGAGGCGCGGTGGGTGGTTGGTCGGGACTAGCACGGCTCTGGTTATGGACGGCGGAAGGCGCTACGCGTTCACGGCGCGGAGGGGAACATTGTGCTTACAGCGAGGGGAACGAAGTAGACGCTGTCCGGCGTGTTGTTCAGCGGTACTCGCGCCGTGACGTCCGCTTCGACCGTGTCGAACACGTGCAACGCGTCGGTGAGTTCCGGCAGGCGAAGCGCGCCCGTCGTGCTGTAGCTCGCCGCGGCCAGCAGCGTGCGTTGCGCGGGGCCGAACGCCACGCTGCGCCACTCGCCCCTGATGGCGGCACGCGGGGAAACGAGGAGGAAGGAACAAAGTCAGAATCAGCGATTCAAGAAATGTCACTGCACAGCAGGGATGTGCGCTCATGTGGAGAATGGCGGAGAATGGAGCCACGGTGGGATTTGCAGGCAGAGAAGGTCAGAACCGTGCCTCTTGGTCAGATCGCGCCTGAGGGGTTGCGCGCCTGAGGGATTGCGCCATACTGAGGGGGCTGCGCCGAACCTGAGTGGTTACGCCGTACCTGAAAGGGTGCGCGGGGCACTTGTTGGGGAAGGGCACGTGCCCCGATGGCCCCTTGAATGCGCGCAGCGACGCTAGCGGACTGCCTTTGGTGGGGTCGATCAGCACCACCTGGCATCGCATGAATGGACAGCCGGGGCACGCAGGCACGCATGGGGATGGGAGAGGGGGAGCATGGGATAATGGGAGGGCAGGAGTATGGGCAAGAGCGGAGTCGCGATGATACCCGGCTGCTGTCACGCCGTCGAATGCTCATCGTTTGAGGAGCCTAAAGAATGCACATCGCCACCCGTGAACGGCCTACTGCCTGGTCGCACCTCGCTCTCCCTCTCGCGCTCTCCAACCATTCTAAACGCCCATCCTGCTTAGAGACTGGAACAACGGCAACGGAATTTACTGCGCAAGGTGCACCTAGCGTGACGGATGGTACGAACTTGCCTTTGTTGCGATGACAGCGCTCCGGCTTGCACCCGGCCAGTGTGGCGCCACTACAACTTCATTTGAGATTCTATCGATTTTTCGAGGATAGAAACAAGTCGTCCGTATGCTTTCAACGTCTTTCCGCTTTGCAGTCGTTACTTTAGAAGGTGTTAACTACACAGGATTGTCGATAGCGGCGCCGTGCCTCTACAGAATTTAAAGCATGCCGGACTCCTCATCAAGTGAGGTGAGACTTGCCTGGCCGTCCGCGAAGGCGTAGAAGATTCCGCGACTCGTGCTTGCGACCACGTCGGCATGAACCAGACGGCAGAGGCACACCAACACGAAAAGCAACGACGCGGTGCGTATGACCTCTCGAGACGCCATGTTCGTCAGTATTCGTAGTCAGGCTGTACTTTTTAGCGAAGAACTCGAAGAATTATATACCACAATCACTGGAAGAAGTACCTCATTTGAGTGTACGAAAAGACGCTGAGAAGGCTAGTGAGGAATATTGCATGGTGTCGAACGGAGAAAGCGATAGTGCTGCCGACATACGAAGGCATGCTCGGGCGGAACATGAATGGGATGGGACTTGGAAGGAGTTGCGCGCGATGCAAAAACATTTTGCGCCACTTTGCTGCTGGTGCGCTGCACATCCGCGCGCTGCAGTGGGCCAAATGTGCTTTCGGCCGACCATCCGCGCGCTGCAGGTGTAGGAAATCCGCCTCTGCGCCGCTCAGGCGCATGTTCTGGAGGGGATTGCGCGCTGCGGTGCTCTATAAGTGCTGGTGTTGGCATGTCAATGGCGGAGCTGCCACCAAATTCGCGCGTCGTGGGACTCCTGGGTGATGATTTGGCTGCCCTAGGTCAGCTGACATGGCAATGAAGCTGGTTGCTCAACCAAAAAGCGGCTCGCTACATCATCCTAACGCCACACTAACGAGCTTTCTTGACCAGTCACTAAAGTCCCTTCGCTACAAAAAACTCACGTATCGTGCCGCGCCGCTCATCCAGGAATTGGACATTCGCGTCGCGAACGCCCTCCGCTGATGGGGGCTGCTCGTGGACAGTCCTCACCTCACCTCACCTCCGTCGCACGCAATGCCCATCCCATTCCCACCCCAAATCGAGTGCGAGCAACTGGTTCGTGCTTTGCTTGCGATGTTGGGGAGTCACTGAGTGAATCTGTGAGTAGTGTGGACGTCTCGTCTCGTTTACCGTCCTCCGATTTCTTTTCTGCTCGAATGCTTTCTCGAAAGTGTTGTCCAAGTTCAAGGAGGCTAGATAGGTTTAACCAAGTATAACCTCCGTTCGGTGGCAGTCCACTAACCGACCTTAGCTTGTCGCTCAGAACTCCTCGAGAATATGGCTCCACGGGTGCCGTGGCATCTATGCCTATCTGCTTTAGTAGTGCTCGCGTCCCTCTGCTCGTTAAGTCGTGCTGACGTAACTCTTCCGGATCCATCGCGACCCGGCCTCTTCTATTTCTTCATGTCTGGCCAGGTTAGTACGAACGGGCGCGCTAATCTCTTCTGGAGCTGACCGCTGGCGCTTAGCACAGATTTGCGACAGTATATCGATCTCTAGTTCTTGCTGCCGTCAGCACGGACGCAAAGCCCCACAGACCGCTCAGCTAATGACTTGCTTCATTTGCCACTTTCAAACTCTATGCGCTTGTGCCCGCCGTGCGTGACGCCAAATTTGCCTCGTGGTGTCCGTGTGTGCGACAGATCGTAGTGGTGGACCCGGTGTCGCAGAAGGTGGTAACGAAGATCAACCAGACGTCGCAAGGCGCACCCGCGCCCTTTCCCAACTCCTGCCCCGGCCACCCCATGCAGTAAGCGCCGTGCCTCTTCACTTCAATTAGTAACCACCGACTCGAGCTGCAAAACGTGAGGGGATCATATAGTTTACATAGATAGAACAGTATTAAGTGCGCGCCTCGCCGCACGGAAAGAGCGCGTCGCCAACCCGCGTTCTAGGCCCAAAATGTCATTTCAATATCAAGCCGTCACTCTTTCATAACTCTCCCCATTCCCATCCCCTCCCTTGCCCCGCCCTCTTCCTCGGCCCTTCCTCCCCATCCCCGCCCCGCCCCCTCTCCTGCGGCGCGCTCCCATTCCCCCCTCCGCCCCGCGTCGCCTCCGCAGAGGCACGTGGAATCGGCACACGACGGGAATCGATCAGCAGACCATCTTCATCACGGCCAGCTTCCAGCAGCCCACGCCGCTGCGACTGCCGGGGCTGTCGGACATGGTGCTCGTCGTCAACACGTCGTCGCAGAGCGTCGCAGCGTCCGTCGCCGTGCCCGACATCCCCAACGACATCGTCTTCGTGCCTGAAGTGGTGAGTGCTGACGTGGCGTGGCGTGGTTATGGTGAGAATGGACTTGTCATTGGTGATGTGAAGGTCAACAGCAGTTACCGTTGCGATCGTCAGTTCGTAAGAGATTTAACATGTTTGTCGCCCTGCTCACTAGAATCAACTTTGTACACGAGTAAACTTCGTTATGAAGGGCAAGAACGTAATAACATCTTTCATATTTCGCGATCGAGCGCGCTACGAACTGAATCAGGAAACTGATGCCCCCCTCGTTACATTCATCGCAGGGGAGCGTGTTTGCCCACGCGGACGTCAACGGCACCTTCGCCGTCATTTCCGCGGCGCCGCCGTACACGCTGCAGCGCGCGCGCTTCTCCTCCGAGTTCGCCGAGGCGGGCTACGGCCGCCTGCTCGCCGACTCCGGTACGCCCCCCTCCCGCGCTCGCCTCTCACTGCGCTTCCGCTGCCCGCCCGTACGCTGTGTTGCGCGCCTTGTCCTCTGAGCGCACATCCCTGGCCATCCCGCCTTCAGCGCCCCTTCCACCGCATCCCACTCCCGGGCCCCTTTTCACCCCGTGCCTCTCATTCCCCCCAACCTCTTCACCTCGGCAACGCGCAGTGCTGTACGGCAAGGCGTTTCAGACGGCGTCGCAGATGCCGGGCGGGAGTGTTCCCTTCCAGCCTCTTCACCTTGCGCCTCCCCCCCCGATTCCTCACCAATTCCTGCCCATTCCCGTCCATCCCCATTTCCCTTACTCTCCCCCGCATCGCCCCACCCGTCCAATTGCGCGCAGCGCTGAACGGCAAGGCGTTCCAAACGGCGTCGCGGGCGTGTTTTCGCTGAACCTCGCAGTGCGTCCCATCTCCCCATTCCCCTCCATTACCTTCCGTCCCCGCGCGTCTCCCCTCTCCCCCCCCTCCGCAGCGTTGAACGGCAAGGCGTTTCAGACGGCGTCGCAGATGCCGGGCGTGTTCTCGCTGAACCTGTTCACGCAGTCGGCCGACGTGCCGTTCCTCGACTTCACGCAGACCATGCTGCAATCCCAGCCGTGGCTGCCGCCCGACACGCCCATCTACTGCCCCGGTGAGTTGCCCCTCATCACGACACGCGCGTGTTGGTTGACCCAGTGAGTTGATGCGCCCTTCTAAAATTCACTGTGAAATCTCGCTCGTGCGTTACCGCCTTCACGCCCGTCTATTGTCCTGGCGAGTTGTCGAGGTGAGATGACACGCTTGTCTTCCCCCTCCTCCCTCCCTCCAGCGACGCGCGAGGCGGTGTATTCGGCGGTGAATCGGCGCGCGTACGTGTCGTGCGCCAAGGCGGGCAGTCCGCCCGACCCCAACGCGCCCGACCCGGGGATTGTCGAGATCGCCGGCGACGACAGCGTGCCCGTCGGCTACCTCAACTTCAAGGTGCGTGAGGGAGCTGGGAGCTGGGTGCGGGAGGGGGAAGGCGAGGTGGAAAGACAGGGCAGGGCAGGGCAGGGGTGAATCGGGTGTGGTCCGCGCGTGATGCAGAGGCGTCAATCCTATCCGTCACAGCACGTCCCATCGCACCCTTTCATCACACCCTCTCGTCACACCCTCTCATCGCACCCTCTCATCTGATCCCCTTCCTGCCCTCCATTTCCTGCTCGCCCGTTCGTACTAACGCTCATGCTCCTTCCTTTTATCCCTCGCAGGCCAACAGGCTGTACCTGACACCGGACGAGACGTTCCTGCTGGCAGTGGACAGCGGCGCGGGGGTGATCCGCATGGTGCAGATGCTGCCGGGGGTGGGCAGCGACCAGGTGGTCCCTCACACCCTCCCTCTTGTCCCCTCCCGCCCCAACAGGCGGACAGGCTGTATCTCACACCAGATGAGACCTTCCTGCTGGCAATGGACAGCGGGACAAGCGCTCACATCGGCTCACGCATTCGCATTCTCCCTTTCTCCATGCCTACATGCCGCCTTTCTCCCCCTCCCAGGCGGACAGGCTGTATCTGACGCCAGACGAGACCTTCCTACTGGCCGTGGACAGCGGCGCGGGCGTGATCCGCATGGTGCAGATGCTGCCGGGCGTGGGCAGCGACCAGGTCTTCTCGCTGCAGTGGCCTGACGTCACTCTGCCGCCCAACTCCATGCCCGACAAGATCCTCTTCTACCCCAAGGCAAGCACTGGTATCAGTAGAAAGGCCTTAAGGTGCGCTGAAGCTGGTAGTGAATGGCAGAGAGGCCTTGTCCCCCTGCACTGACGTCACTCTGCCGCCCAACTCCATGCCCGACAAGATGCTCTTCTACCCCAAGGCAAGCACCCCATCCACCTCCAATGTGCCTTCACTCCAACCTCCTCATCCCTGCTACCCTCCTCATCCCTGCTCTGCTCTCTGCTCTGCGGTGCTTTCTGATCTCCTCTGCTCGCACCATATGCCACTCACTCCATATGCTCTATGCCCACCACTACTGTCTCCTCCCTCGCCTTCTCCCCTCTCCCAGGGCATGTTCTACGTGGCGCTGCTGTTGCCAGTGCTGAGGTCTCCCTCCCACCTCCTCTCCCACCCCTCTCCCCGCCCTTCCCCCCCCACCTCTCAGGGCATGTTCTACGTGGCGCTGGTGTCGCTGGTGCTCAAGGACAGCACAGCGGTGATCGATTTCAACAAGCTGCTCGCGTGTGGCGCACAGTGCCCGCAAGACAACATTGCTGCCGCCCTCACCTTCATCAACTCCGGCTACCATGTACGCTGCACTCCCAACCGTTCTATTGCTCTCGCTTTCCACACAATTGTTACCTTGCCCTCCTTGCTCTCCTTTGTTTCCATTGGTTACCATAATCAGAGCCTTTCTTGTGTAGCCTTCCTACCATCTTACGTTGGACCATCCCACTGTACCCCTCTGCACCCATGGCGTTCCCATCTCTGCCTCCCCCCACACTCAATACCCTCATGGCCCCCTGGCCTCACACCCTTAACCAATCAGGTGGCGCCACGTGCCAACATGGATCTGAGCATATCATCACGCAGCATGGCAGTGGGGCATCAGTTTGTGTGCGTGGCAGCCAATCACGACAAGGCGGTGCACTGTAGCAACCTCGTTAACCCGGCCAACAACAAGATATACACCAACATGTTTGATGTACAAGATATAGTGTACGTGGGCCATGGTTACCTTCCAATGCTGCCATGGTGATGCTACTGCAACACCAGCTGGAGAGGAATGGAATTCAGAAACTGGGAATTCTACTTGATATCAATGGGTCTTGTCATATTACACTGTATCCATGTTCCCTTCACACGCTCCTACCATCCCCTCATCCCAACCACGCTATCCCCTCATCCCAACCACGCTCGTGGAAACGGGCCAAGCATGTGGGTAACCATTCACATCATAACTCAACATCGTGTCCTCTTGCTCCCCTCCCCATATGCCCACCATGCCTTCACCGCACCAGGTTTGTGGAGGGCAAGTACCCGGGAGACCAGTCCTTTATCCGCCCCATCTGTCAGCACACATCTGTGTTTCCCTTCCTCCTCCCACGCTTACCCTACCCTTCACCACACCAGGTTTGTGGAGGGCAAGTACCCAGGAGACCAGTCCTTTATCCGCCCCTTCTGTCAGCATACATCTGTGTTTTCCTTCCTCCTCCCACGCTTACCCTACCCTTCACCACACCAGGTTTGTGGAGGGCAAGTACCCAGGAGACCAGTCCTTTATCCGCCCCATCGATACCACCTTTGACTGCTCCTCCGCACCCACCACGCTAGACAAGCCACCACCGCCACCCTCGCCATTGGACCTCGCCGTTGCTGCGCACTTGAGAGGCTCCTAGCTGCCACTCCCTCGCCCCTTAAAGGGGTTCCTAGCCGCTTTACCCTAGCTTTAGAAATTTTCAACGTTTGCCTCACTTCTTCACCTTTCTAGTGTCTGCGTATCCTCGCCCGCAAGGCTGCCTGAGAGTTTTGACATGTGCGTTGTGCTCTTTTGTGTACGCTCTCTAAAATATAAAAAGGGGGTAAAGCTTGAGCTGCGCATTATTGTAAATGAATATTGGAATAAGTGGTTTGAGTAACATTGTATCTGTAATAAAGGAAATTATTGAGTTACTCGTATCGCGTCATTTTGCAAGGTGGCTGGTTCGGAATCCAGTTGCCAGCAACGCCTCTTTCTCATTCACGTGTATGCACGATTGATACATGCCTGCCCCTGCGCCTCTCCTGCATTCTAACGTATGTGTGCGATTGCGCCGTCCCTTGCGCGTGTCCGACGACTTTTTCTCATCGCGCACGCCGCCGTTCTTCCAGGGCCATTGCCTGTGCCCGCACGCCCCATGGCGCTCAGATCGTTGCGCCTTGCGCCCATCCCTCCCCCTATTGGCCCCCTTGCGCGTTCGACTCTTCCGCTCATCGATCGCATCGCTAGTGTCCGCCATTTCAGTCCCAGTGCCATGCGCGCTGCGTGCAGTTCGGTCGACGAAACCAGCCAGAGTGACAATTGCGGAAGAGGCAGCGCGCGGGCTTCCGCGCATCTAGATGGCGCGCAGACGTTTTCCGCGCGCAGCACGCCCGCGATTTCCCCCCGTGAGGATACCCGCGGTTTGATGGGAGATTGCCTTTCCGCCTCCCGCTCCGCCGAAAGCGCGCGTGAGGGAGGCGCCCCCGCGAACGGCGCCGCAACAGGGGGCGACACGATCGCGGCTGTGGTCACTGCCGTGTCGTCCACGTCAGGCGGTGTCGCGATCGTGCGGCTCTCCGGCCCCGCCGCTGTGAGCATCGTGCGGCGCATGTTCCGCCCCGCGCGGAAAGCGAACAGAGCGCGGAAGCAGGGGGGAATGGCGAGGGGAAGCGGAGACCTTGGCGGATGGGCGGGGAGCGCGGAGAACGGAGCTTGGGGAACAGATAATGGGGATTTCCGAGGAGCGGTGAGCGAGGGGAGCGCGTTGGCTGGAAGCAGGAAGGAAGAGGAGGGGAGAAGCGGAGAGGCAATGGGGGGAAGCGGGGGAAGCGGGGGGAGCGGGGAGGGCGGAGCGGCGGGGGAGTGGCGCGCGGAGAGCCACCGAGTGAGCTACGGGCACATCGTGGACGAGCAGGGGGCCACCATTGACGAGGTGCGCGCAGGGGGTGTGAGAAGTCAGCGACATGGGGGCAGGGTGCAGGGAGCAGGGTTGAGGGAGCAGGGTTGAGGGTTTCGGGTTTATGCGGCGTTGTGTGGCTGTGGGCGTGGGGTCATGGGTATAACCAATGCTCCCGCCGTACCCACTTGGTGCTGGCGCTGCCCATGCTGGCGCTGCCCATGCTGGCGCCTTGCTCCTCTACGTATGAGGACGTGGTGCATGCATACTCACCAACCTGCTCTCGCCTCTTCCCTCTTCCCTCTCCTCGCCTCTCCTGTCCCCTCCTCCCCCCCAGGTGCTCGTGCTGCCCATGCTAGCCCCGCGCTCGTACACGAGTGAGGACGTGGTGGAGGTGCACTGCCAACCTGCCCTCGCCTCCTCTCTCCTCCTTCTCCCCCGCCTCGCAGGTGCTCGTGCTGCCCATGCTGGCCCCGCGGTCGTACACGTGTGAGGACGTGGTGGAGGTGCACTGTCACGGTGGCAGGGTGTGCGCCCACTCCTGCCTCGCCTCCGCCGTCCACCTCGGCGCCAGGCTGGCAGGAGCAGGTGATGACGTGGCATGACGTGGTATGGTATGGTAGTGCTGTGCTGTGACATGGTATGCCATGTGTGCAACACAGTCAATGCGCAGGCACAGTGTGGCACATGCGTGAGTGCTACATGCTGCTCTGCACTGCCCCTCACCATGCATACGTGCCCTTCAGCCACTCCTCTTCTCCCCCTCACTTTCTCTCTCTCAACCGCACAGCACCCCTCAACCCTCTCCTCCCCCACGCGAGTTCACCCTGCGTGCATTCGTCAACGGCCACGTGGATCTGGCACAGGAAGAGGCCATGCCGCCCGCATTCCCACCCTCTGTGTACCGCCTTCCACCCCCTCACTCCCGCTTCCACCCCCATGCACGCCAGGCGAGTTCACGCTACGAGCCTTCCTCAACGGCCGGGTGGATCTGGCACAGGCAGAGGCCGTGGCCGCCCTCATCCGCGCCGACACCACCGCTGCTGCGCGCTCCGCCCTCGCTGCTGTTAAGGTGGGTGCGGGAGAGAGGGGTGTGGGTTCAGGGAGGAGCGTGCACTGTCATTGCCCCACGTTTTGGGTCGACTCAAAACGAGACTCGTTGCTGTCAAGGTCAGAGGGGCGTGGGTTTAGCGAGGAGCGTGCGCTGTGGGCCTCGTGCCCTGTCCCCCTCACGCCGCCATGCTCGCTGTCCCCCTGTGCTCCCTCTCACACCCTCTCCCTCTCCCCCTTTCCATCTTCACAATCCATCTCCCCACCATCCAGGGCGGCTTGTCTCGTCACATCCGGGGCGTGCGGGCGGCGTGCATGGGCGTGCTGGTGGACATCGAGGCGCGCATCGACTTTGAGGAGGATCTCCCACCGTTGGATGCTGCGGACGTCAGCCGTCGGATCGACGCCATCTGGCAGCAGATCAACGAGGCACTGGCCACCGCCAATCGGGGCCGACTGCTGGAGTATGGCATTCAGGTGGGTTGGCCGATTCCGGTGTTGAGGTGTTGAGTGCGGCACCCAGGTGGGGCGGGCTTTAAGTGTTGTTGACTATGGCGTGTGGGTAAAGCTGACTGTCGCATCCGTTGCAGCAGCGCAGCAGTCCAAGTGGTGATACAACCTCACTGCCTGTGAACCCCAACCCACCACACCATGTGCGCAGCTCAGCACCTCCAGCGCCCTCCTTCTTCACCTGCGTCCCTTCCTCTCGCCCCTCCATCCCGCACGGCATCCCTCAACAGGTGGCCATAGTGGGTCGTCCGAACGTGGGCAAGTCGAGTGTACTGAACGCGTGGACGCAGTCGGAGCGAGCAATTATAACCGACACACCCGGCACAACAAGGGACGTGGTGGAAGCACACCTTCACCTGGCGCTCTCAGTCTTTCCAGCATTCTCAGTCAGTCTTCAGCTTCCTCCCATCCCCTCCCCTCCGCCCTCCACTCCTGCACGCAGGCAGCAATCGTGGGGCGGCCCAACGTGGGCAAGTCGAGTCTACTGAACGCGTGGACACAGTCAGAGCGCGCCATCGTGACGGACATCCCCGGCACGACAAGGGACGTGGTGGAGGCGCAGCTGCACCTGGCGCTCTCACTCAGTCTTCAGCTTCCTCCCATCCCCTCCCCTCCCCTCCCCTCCGCCCTCCACTCCTGCCCCCTCCACTCCTGCGCGCAGGTGGCCATCGTGGGTCGTCCCAACGTGGGCAAGTCAAGCCTCTTGAACGCGTGGACGCAGTCGGAGCGCGCGATTGTAACGGACATCCCCGGCACAACAAGGGACGTGGTGGAGGCACAGCTGCACCTGCCTCTCTCTGCGGGGGGCTTCCCTGTGCGCCTGGCTGACACCGCCGGCATCCGCCACACCACCGACGCTGTTGAGGCAATTGGTGGGTTGCACTAAGGGGTGGGCTGTGGGCTGTGGGTTGCCCGTGCTGCCTGTCCTCTCTGCGAGGGGCTTCCTCATGCGCCTGGTGAACACGGCTGGCATCCGCCACACCAGTGACGCCGTCGAGGCCATCGGTGCGTTGCAGTGCTTGCCCCGTTGTGTAGCGTTGCTCTTACAGTAGTGCGTCAAGGTGGGCTTTAGACGTCTCAACAACAATCTTCCCCGTGCGCCTGGCTGACGCCGCCGGCATCCGCCACACCACCGACGCTGTTGCGGCCATCGGCTGCCCTCCTGGCTGGCCTGTGGACTGTGCTGCGAGCGGGCACAGGCAGAGTCATGGCAGCAGCAGGTGGAAAGACGCGCCTGCAGGTGTGCTGCATCTCCACGCGCCTCTAGGCGGCCGTGGGAGGCTCACGGCTGTGATTGTGCATGGCACTGACTTGCTGGCTCTAAGTTGCGTTGCAGGCTGTTCCAGGGCCATGGTTCAGTGGCGGTTGAAGCGATTGTGGGGTTGCTGAGAAGAACACGTGTTGTCCTTCTCGTGTGCATCTCTCTCTGTGCCCTCCTGCTGGCCTCATGCAACGTTTTGTGCCCTTGCATTGCGGTGCTGGCAGGTGTGCAGCGGTCGGAGGCGGCAGCAGCAGCAGCAGATGTGGTGCTGCTGGTGGTGAGTGCAGCGGAGGGGTGGACAGCAGAGGACTCCGCCATCTTCCACCGCATCTCCGGTGCCGTGGCCTTGCAGGCAGGGACACCCGCACATGCTCATGGGCATGCACAGGCGGACACACATACAGACCCACATCTACATACACATGCAGAAACACAGGGAGTGGAGGAGGAAGGTCAATCCCTCTCCACAGCACCTCTTGCCGAGACAACCGCAGCAACAACGGCAGCAGCAGCAGCAGCAGCAGCAGCAGCGGTGCCGGCAGAGACAGCAGTACGGACAACAGCAGGGGCACAAGAAGCTGCGCAAGCAAGAGCAGAGGGCCAGCCGGTGATAATCCTGGTGGAGAACAAGAGCGACCAGGCCCACCCCCACGGCATGCACATCCCTCCAGCCGTGCAGCGTGCCGTGTGGCGCCACGTAGCCACCAGCGCCACCCTCCGCACCGGACTGCACCACCTTGAATCCGCCGTGGCAGCAGCCGTGGGAGGGGGGCTGGTGGCAGAGGAGGGGCAGCAGTGGGCGGTGAACCAGCGGCAGCAGCAGCAGCTGGTGCGTGCAGCGGAGGCTGTGGGGCGGGTGAGGGAGAGCATTGGAGCGGGGCTGCCGCTGGACTTCTGGTCCATTGATCTCAGGAGTTGCATTCTTGCGCTGGGGCAGGTGAGCGGTGAGGAGGACGTGACTGAGGAGGTGCTGTCGAATATCTTCAGCAAGTTCTGTATCGGCAAATAGGGAGGGGCGTATCGATGTGTACACCGTGTATTGACCTTTGAAGCACCTCAAAGGATGTGACGGAGGAGGTGCTGCCGAACATATTCAGCAAGTTATGCATCGGCAAGTAGGAGTAGGGGCGCGGCTCTGATGTGTACCGCATATTGCGATGTAACACTTATTCTGGAGTAATTAATACTGAGGATTTTGACTATACTTGAAAAGGCTTCTCTGTTTCATTGTCTAGTGTTACATCAAAGGTTACAGGAGGCCGGTTAGGCAAGGGTTGTTCGAGATGGGAGGCGTTGAGCCCTGCCTGTGCCAGCTGGGCGAGCAGAATGCGCCCGCGCCTGTTGCGGTAACGCGGAGAGAACTCCCCTCTCACCCGCCGAGCCACCGCCTGCCACACCATGTCCTCTGCCCCGCCGTGTCGCGGGGGGAAGGAATAGATGAAATGGTGTGCAACCTGTGGGGGAGGGATGCGCGTGGGGTGGGGAGTGGTGGGGTTGGGGGGGGTGAGGAGTGGGTCAGGAGACCTGCTCATGCCATACGGCCTGCTCTGCTCCCCCGTGCCCTGCCACACCATGTCCTCTGCTCCACGGGTCGTGGCGGGATAAGGAGAAGTGGGAGACGGCACGAGGCACAGCAGGGTGGCGGGGTGCGTGGATGCCATGCGGGCTGCTCCCCTTCCCCCTGCCCCGCCATACCGCCCCGCCTACCCCTGGGAGTGGGGAGAAGAGGAGGTGGTGAGGGTCCTGACAGGGGGGTCTGTGGAAGGGGGAGATGGAAAGAGGGAGGAATGGGGAAGGGGAAGGGTGTCTCGTGGTGCGTGCATGCGAGCACGGCATTTCTTTGCACCACCGCATCAGCATTGATCAGCATGCTCGCCCGTGTGCGCCCTGATACTGCCGATGGTGGCACGTGCGCTGCCGACACCCACGGAGAATCTCTAAGAGCACGCAAGAACAACCTTCTGTTCTCGCACCTTCACGCGCCCAAAGAAACTCTCGTGCTGCCCCTCACACACCGCACACATGCATGGGGCAACCCTCACACCTCCCCACCCGCGCTGCCCTGCATGCAGAGACAAGCCCACCGAACCCATCTCGCGAAAGCCCGCATCTCGCCCGCTCACCTTCCGCATGGCCTCCCACTGCTTCCGCCACACAGCCTCCGTCTGCGCGTGCAGCACGCCTAGCATGTAGCCCGGGCGCACAGCGAGGGCGGCAGGGATGAGCAGCGCGAAGGCGGAGTAGTCGATGGCGTCCTCAACGGGCGGGTCGAGGGCATCGCTGATGATGACCGGGATGCACCCGGAGAGAATCGCATCGAACAGGCGACAGCTGGAGGACGTGTCACCTGCAAGGGGAGACAGGGGAAGGGAGAGGGGTGGGCAGGAGCAGCGCGACGGCGGAGTGGTCAATGACATCCTCAAAGGGCGGGTCGAGGCCGTCACTGATTATCACTGGTATCCGGAGAGAATGGCGTCAAACAGGCAACAGCTGGAGGGACACAGTAAGGGAGAGGGTTAGGAGAAGGCGGAGTAGTCAATGACATCCTCAAAGGGCGGGTCGAGGCCGTCACTGATTATCACTGGTATCCGGAGAGAATGGCGTCAAACAGGCGACAGTTGGAGGAGGTATCACCTGTGCGGGGGAGGGGTAATGGTAGGGGGAGATGGTGACGAGGAGGGGAGAGAGAAGTAGAGAGGTTGTGGGAGTGGACAAGGAGGGCAAGAGAGGGGCAGCAAGGGTATCAGCAAGATGCAATTCCTCCCTCCCATCCGTGTACATGTAGCGACACACCACTCACAATGCATCTTGCCTCACCTCGCGGCACCAGGCAGTACTTGCCTCACCTCGCGGCACCAGGCAGTACTTGGCTCGGCGCATGGCAGAGGCTGCCTGTGCTGTCATGCTGCTGTTGTCCGCCCGCCCCACCCTGAACTGCACCCCCGCCTGCCCCTGCAGCTCCCTCTGCACTTGCTGCCGAATGATGCCACCCTGTGGGAGAGAGGGGGAAGAGAGACGTTGGAAGAGGGAGGAAGGGGGAACCGAGGAGGGGAGGTTGGAGGGGAGTGAGGAATAGAGAGAACAGTATGAACAGGAACGGGAAGAAGAATGAATGAGGGGGTGGAGAGGAGCTGCCGGGCAGGGGGGTGCAGACAGGCGACAGGCTTGAGCAACAAGCAGTGCTGCATGCATGCTGCAGCGGCTGAAACACATGGCTACTGAGAGTGAGCGAACGAGCGAAGGCCACTGACCCCCCAGCGGATGGCGGGGCCTTGGGAGAAGAGCAGCAGCGGGCGGTGGGCCCAAGAGCCATGGTCATTAATGAATGGGGGCATTACCATTACCATTACGCCATTACCATTGCGCCATTACCATTACGCCATTACCATTACGCTATTACCATTACGCCATTACCATTACGCTATTACCATTACCATTACCATTGCCATTACCATTACCATTACCATTACCATTACCATTACCATTACCATTACAATTACCATTACCGCTGCTGTGCTTGTACTCACCCCCCAGCGATCGGTGGTGCCTTGGAAGAAGAGCAGCAGCGGGCGGTGGGCCCAGGAGCCACTGTCGTGAGTGAATGGCGGCACTAGCGGCACGTACGGCACTATCACATCCCGGTCGTAGGATGCTGCCTGTTGGGGGGGTAGGGGGTGGTTGGGAGGAAGACAACGGGAAGGAAGGCAGCATAGGAGCGCGAGGAGCAGAGAGGGCGTTGATTGGAAGAGGGTGAGCATACAGAGCAGAGCAGAGCAGAGCAGAGCAGAGCAGAGCAGAGCAGAGCGCGCATGCAAGGCAGCAGAGTGAGTGAGCACCACACCACATGCAGCGCACATGGATCGCATATGGGCCCCGTGCAATTGACGTGCACATGCAGCAGCGCAGAAGCAACCACCTGCGGCCAGTGCAGGTCTCACCTGCGGCCAGTGCAGGTCAAGGTCAACAGCGAGCTTGATGGCAGCAGCGAGGGGCAACGAGTGGTTGAACATGGCCAGAGGGTACACGCATGGCACCACCAGGGGGGGTATGCGCCCTGCCTCTCCCCCAGTGCTCTTGCTGCCGCTGCTGTCGCTGCTGCCCCCACTGCCGTGAGTGGTGTTGGCCGCACTGCTGGCGAGTGTGGCGGCGTGGCGGCGGGCGAAGCGGGCGATGATGGGGTCCAGGATCTCACTGCCGTGCCGCGGGGGATGGGCCATGGGAGGGGAGAGGGGAAGGGGCGAAGGGAGAGGAGAGAATGCAGGAGAGACTTGAGGGCGATGAAGAGCGCATGGGAAGAACACAACGAGGAGCAAGGCAGCGAAAACAGAGGGAGGGGTGAAAACTGTTGCTGCCGGTGGTGGGGGAGGAGGAGGAGGATGCGGCACCTGGCGTTGGTGCGGAAGGAGAGTGTGGACCAGTAGGGCAGGAAAATGGCCTCCGCGTCCTCCACTCGCTGCACCCTCTGCACTGCTGCCGTGCCTGCAAGGGGGGGGGATGCCACCGCCATTGGAAGGGGCAGAATGGAGGGCAGAGCAGCACGGAGGGTGGAGAGAGCGAGGGGCAAGGCGAGCGTGGAGCAGTAGGGCAGGACGAGCACCTCCGCGTCCTCCACTCGCTGCACCCACTGCACTGCCGCCGTGCCTGGCGAAAGGAGGGGGGGGGAGAGATGTCACAGGCAGGAGGAGGGGAATGGTGGAGGGGAGGTCACAGCGGGAGATGTGAGGGGTGGAGGGGAGAGGAGGCGAGGAGAGGAGAGGGACTGAGGAAACGAGCATGAGGGCGGTGGCACTGGTCAGAGGGAAAAGGGGTACCTGAGAAGAGGGAGAGCGAGAGAAAGTACTCTGCCCCATGCTGGCGGTAATAAGGGTAGTCAGGGTAGCACGGCACGCTCACGTCCACCGGTCCATCTGTCCCCGGCAGCGCTGCTCGCTCCTCTGCTGCCTCAGAAGATGCGGCTGCTGCTGCTGCTGGCGATGTCGATGGTGAGAGCGGCACGGGCAGGTCTGGCAGGTCTGGCGTGCCGAGGAGCGGCAGCAGGTGCGGTGGGAGGGCGGCAGGGTCGCTGCTGCTGCCACTGGCAGGGGATGCAACAGTGGGTAGGGGCGAGGCAGAGGAGGCGGAGGAGGGGGAAGGAGGGGAAGGGGAGTGCAGCCAGGAGAGCGGCACGGCGTGGGGCGAGTGCAGGCGCACGGTGCACGGCGGGGAGGGCGCGGAGGAGGAGGGCAGGGCTGCTGGTGGCAGCAGTGACTGCGCCCCTTCCAGTGGGCGCGCGCAGGGGAAGGGCGAAGGGAGATGGGGAATAAAACGGGGGAAGAAGGAAGAGGGAAGAGAGGGAGAAAGCGGGGTGGGTAAGAGCGGAGTGCGACAAGGGGGGAAGAAAAGGAGTCTAACCACCTGCGGCAGGGGGGAGAGGGCCAGGGTGTAGAGCCAGGGGAGAGGCTCAAGATGAGCGAGAGAGGGCGACGAGGGGCGCGAGTCACCTGCGCGAGGGGGATGAGATCGACGTTGTACGGCGCCGGCAGCAGAACCACATACACCCTCAGCGGCCGCTCCCCCTCGCCGCTCCCACCGCCCTCTGCGCACTCCCCGTCTCCCGCGCCCACACAGGCGCCGTCTTCTGGCGATTGCGGGCGAATTCGAGCGCGCAACAGTGACGCCGTCAGCAGCAGGAGGAGCAGCGCGACGCACGACGCGGAGATGGAACGCCGCAGCCACGCGCGCGACGCTGACGTGGAACTTCCGCCACGCGCCGCGCGAGAAGGAGCGTGTGATCGGGCAGGGTGGCTGGAGGCGGTGGGCGTGAATCGCGGCGCAAGGCGGAGGAGAGACGGCGCCATGGCTGCCGCTGGGGGGACGACACGGACGGCATTACTCCGCGACTAGTCTGCGAGGCATGCGTGCAGCGGGGCGAGAAACAAGATATTTCTGGTAGCGACGCTAAGGGACGCTGCACCACATGCGATGCGAATGCTGCAGGGCGGCAGAGACGACGTGGAAAGGCTCGCGAGCGGGTGAATTGGCGCGCAGTGGTTGAGCAGGTGTGCACGAGGTGGTGCTGGTGACTGGCACGGCTGGCGGTGGTGCAGCGGTAAGGGCGGGGGCAGCGCGTTCATTTTCTTGGCTTAGCCCGAAACAGTTACCAGATTCAGCGGTTTGTAACCCTGATTTAGAGTAACGAGTGGACACGATGGAGTATACAGTGGATGAACGGTGGCTGTTTTCCGTGCCGTCAACCGAACAGAACACGTTCCCACGACGGCCGCGAACAACACGCGCATCATTCGAGAATGCCTGTGTGCAGGTCAGCGAAACCGCACCACGAGTTCGTCAAGCGCGTACGACCCTCGCAAATTCATGGGTTCACAAATACAGCTTCGTACTGCGCCCCGTCACCAGATCCACTAGCACAGGGTTACCTCATTGGGTGGGCGGTTGGGCAAAAGTGTGGCGGGACCTGTGCCTAATTCTGGACGCGCGTGTCCCACCTGGGACACAAACTAAGCGCGGTGCAAAAATGCTACAGTATTTTCCTGATTCGACGGGCGTCAAAATTTTGGAAAAGTGGAGAAAATGAACGCGCTGCCCACGCCCTAAAGCAATGACAAGAGGGGACTTGTGTTGCCTGAGCTGAGCAGATAAGGGCGTGTTCGTTTTGTCGGGGGGGTCAGAAATTCGAATTTCGAATTCGAATTTTAAGGGTTTGCAAAAATCGAATTGTACTATTCGAACATGGTCCCCTATTATGTCACCCGAGCTGGAAACCTTGACCAACAATCTGGTCCCAAATATGTCACACCTCGATATTCGGATTTCAGCGGGCCGCGCAGCAGAATTGCAAAGTGTCGCAGCCAAGTCAGCAAAGTCGGACATTTCCAGCAAACATGTGACCAGCCAATGAAAGCCATGCACCAAACAACTCACCAACATCGAACCGCACAAACATCGAAGCGCCCAGACAAAACATTCTTGACATGCAGAGTGCTAGCAACATTGCTCAAGTACAAAGCATGCACAAACTCACTCGACAATGCACAACACATCTCTAGTGGCACTAGAGGGACCACTTCTCACGCCATGTCTCTCCGCCGCCTTCTCCAGCTGCTTGCCATCATGTGGCAGGGCTACGTGCATTCGTTCGTGCTCCCCCTCGTAGTGGCGCTGCCCAACGCCATCGCCGACATGGTTGTCGCGGCCACCATGATGACGACTCGAGTCTTCGTCCGTGGGGACCGTTTAGACGCCCGATGGCGTTGGATGCGACTGCTGCAACAGCTTCCCGACGCCCGCTTTTACGATTACCTGCGCGTTGACCGTCGTGTTTACGTCTACCTCGTGCGGCATTACGAGCTTAGTGGATTCGGGCGACCGACCAGCCCGACGGCAACTTTGTGAAAGTGGCGTTGGCACTCACTCGGATGGGACATGGATGGAGCTACAGGGAGCTCGGCCTTCACTTTGGATTCAGTGTCTCCTACGCCAAAAAAGTATACGACATCTTCATCGTGTTTGTGACGACCTGGCTGGTCCCGAAGTGGGTTAAGTGGCCAACGCCCGACGACTTGGGGCGTATGGCGGTGGAATTTCGCATGAGAGGAGGCATCCCCGGAGTCGTGGGCGCCATTGATGGAACCTACATCCGAACGCGGGGCTGGGGCATTCACTGAGAGGACTTCCGCAATCGAAAAGGCTTTTTCTCCATCATTTTACAAATCATATGCGACTCTGCCGGCTACATTTGGGACTTTTTTGCAGGATGGCCGGGCTCCGTCAATGATGCCCGTGTGTTCAACAATAGTCCTGCACATGCTAGGATCGAAGCGGGAGACCTACATGACTACGTTATTGTGTCCGATGCCGCATATGGTCTACATTCCTACACATACACTCCATTTCGTGCTACTCCCGGCAGGCCCCTACCTAGTGCTATGCATGTTTGGAACTTGCAACAGTCTCGGACCAGAATGGTAGTGGAGCAGGTCTTTGGCCGACTCAAAGGCAAATGGAGGGTGTTGGACGGCCGCATGGAGAGTCACATCGGGCGGGTTGTGGCCACGGTTTCAGCAGCCGTGGTGATTCACAACATCGAGCTTGTGCTCGGCGAACGCCCTCGCCTCGGTGTCCCCCGCGAGCGCAACCTCTGGTGGCTTGCGGGTCCGGTGGCGAACGCACCGCATTACCGCCCCTCCACGCCCGGCTTCACTCCGAATCGTCGTCGGAGTCGACTGGCGGGGTACTTTTACGCTTCCTGGAGGCTCGGTCATCCCTCCTTGAGCCGGCCAATTCTCGGGTAAGACGTTCAAACTCCACCCACTGTTCTGCAAGTACGCCCTTGACCGTTCGAGCCATACGCTCTGCCATTTCATCAATCATCCCCTGCCTTTCAGCCTTGCCATGCTCGCGATGCATCCCATAGTCACGCGGGTCCGCATTCCCCTCTCCCACAGGAGGCGTCCCCGTCCGGCGGACGACGCTACCGCCACGGATCGCAACACCCGTCGCCGCGGCGGGAGCAACTAACGAGCGGGTCCCGGGAGTAGGCGACGCCTGCAGGTTCACATGACCCTGAGGGCGAGTAGGATTGGCAGCCGTAGGAGCTGCCACTGGTGCTGCCACGGGCAAGGGGGTAATTGACATGGGGGGCAGTATGTTAGTGTAGGGTGTATGTGGTGGTGGAATGATAATTGATGTGAGTATTTCTAACGTTCTAGTGATAATTCTCACCGGGATAATTGACGCGCGGTGCACGGGAAGACCCTTCCCCAGCCATGGCATTTGTCAATGCAGTACGATTTGCAGCATGCAGAGGCGGAATGCCTGCAAGGGCAGAATGTATTGCATACGTGGTCCTCTCATGATCCCGGGTTAGGAAACATGATATCTTAAACTACAAATATACAGAAACGCAGCCCTTACCGCTGGTGATCTGGCCGCCACGCCTTGGGGTTTGCTCGTTTGTAGTAGCCCGCGGAGGGGCAGTCGTGCTGGCCGCAAGATGGGTGGTGTTTACGTTCTCCCGTTCGCCAAAAATGACATCAAACAGCTCATACCAGGGCGGGAGCTTCAACGGGCGACCGCGACCGCTCTTCTTGAGAATCTTGTCACGGATTTTGCGGTAGCGAGCCTCCATGCGGAGAAGCTTGGCTTTGACCGCCTGCCATGTGTGACGCCACTCCGGATGCCGCTTCTTAAGCTCCTCGGTGACAGTAGTGTAGATGTTCTGCCCCTGAAGCCTATTCTGCGCCTCCACTTGGGTGTGGAGATCGTGGCGCACGATTGCGAGCTGATGCTCTTCTACCGGCACCCAGCACGCACCAGTGGCGACCGGACGTTTGCCATTATTGCCACGGCGCGCCAGAGTGTTAGCCGCAGCAGTCCCATCCGGAGCCTCGTCGTCAGACAAGTCGACGTCGTCGAGGTCGTCTAGGTCGTCATCAACGTCGCCGTAGTCACTAGCAGCAAACGCCGCGTCTTGATCACCTAGGTCGTCACTATAGGCTGGCATGTCGTCAAGATTAATAGCAGTGCTTGGGGCAGTGCCGGTGGCATGAGCAAGAGGTGGCGCAGATGGCGGCTGAGGGGGTGAGTTGTTGGAGTCGTCTGTAGCGTCAGTGGGCTGATTGGTAGCCATGGCTGTGCTAGGAAAAATCAACTATCGAGCGGACTGAACTGGCACAACTATCGACGAGGTTTGTAGCTGTATTTGTACGAGGATGACATGTGTGGGCTGGCCTAGACAATTTCGCAATGCCTGTTTCAGCCGCGCCGCACATGTCAAGATTGACCGTACACATTTGGTTTCCCTCCAATTCTGGATTGCATGTCGCAAAGGTCGCAGAGTCGCACACCAAAGTTGTGGCGTCGCACATAGCCAGGATTCGAATTCGTGCAATCGTGCCTAGTTCGAACGTTGGCAACACATGCGTTGGCACTGGATTCGAACCCAGAGCGTGTCCCAAAGCGGATACTCTCAAAACGAGGTCTTGGCGAACACTTTATGCGACATTCGCGACAGATGGTTACCACAAAAGTTCGAACATTGTAGGGAAAAACGAACACGCCCTAAGCAGCAGGTTGCATAAGAAATTGCTACAGACACAGGGGCAAGGAATGCATCGCAAGATCTATTATCCTTGCGATTCATCGTTTGATGGAGTTCACACGAGCTGCAAATAACAATGGGGAACATGTAAGGAAAAACCCTTTTTCCTTACTGGGGTTTACTCAACCGCGTACAACCCCAACTTTCGGAAGTGCACGTTCGGCCGCTTTGCTTGCTGCCGAAGCAACCTCGCGTCGCCTTCGGTTTTCCTTTGCCCAACCTGCACTCAACCTCGTGTTCCCGAGGTTCCCGCCTAGCTAGGTTGCCTCGCTATATAATCGCATGCCTTTCATTGTATCGTCAGTTCATTGAGTCACAGCCTCGTTATTCGTTATTCCGCGCAACTACCGTATGTTTGACAACTCATAACACCTGGTATCAGAGCTACTTTCCTAGTTCACCCCGCTTTTCCAGGGTAGTTTAGAGGCACGGGTGTGATTGGTACGGTGGGCTGCAAAGCGGTTGGTTGCAAAGTTTATTAAATTAAACTTGCCCGACTCCGATAGCTTTTGCGCTTGCACTGTTGCCGGATAATCACGGGTACCCAGTTGCCTGTTAGACGTAGCTTGCGACTCATGGACCAGGCGGCATTTGACGCGTTGATGCAGCAAGTGGCGGAGATGTCGGCAGGCATGAAGGCGTTAACGACAGAAGTGGAGAGACTACGTGAAGAAAACAACGAGCTACGCCAGGCGCGAGGTGAAGCGCGCCAGGAGTCGCCCGCTGAAGAAGGCGAGAGCACTGGTCAAGCGGTGAGCGGCAATCCGTTGGAGGAGCTCACACGCGGCTTCGAAGAAGAAGATAGGCAGCGAGCGGCGGCAGCGACAACAGTTGCAGTGACAACAATCAAGATAAAGCCTACGAGCCCGCCCCCGTTCAACCCTACCGACAAGAACACTACTGTTAAGGGGTGGTTGTTCGGCGTGGAGGTGTTCTTCACTGCAGCGAATGTTAACGACGACGCCACGCGGTATCGCTTCTGCGAGGCCCGGCGCTTGAGTGGTGGCGACGAAC